GCCCAATTAATTCCTCTTGATACTCCTAATGTGATGAAGTGAAATTGTGCATGAAATACAAATGGGGAGAAGTTTTGATCATGCATGGTAGGATATAATTTGACAAATTGATACCATCATGATATGAAACATTTATGATTTGCAATGATGTATGCAATACTTATGCCTTCTAATTATGATGTAATGTATTACATATGATGTAAATCATGATTTAAAATACTATGAGTTGTTGCTAAAATAATGTATTATAAATATTGATTTAATGTTTTGTATCATGAATACTCTAAATGATGAATGTTTGATATCATGATCAAAATGTTGACAAATAGTTAAAAATTTTAGTATTATGTATGATATCCTCATAATGTTGATCGATTTATTCAATATCGTGCATGAATAAATATAAGGTTTTTGAAAATATGCATATTCTAATTTGAAAATATGATGATGCACAAATAAGATTGATACTTACCTTTGTCATAATTGATGTAAAGGGTCTTCCCTTCTTTTTGACAATGACAAAAGGGGAGATAGCTAGCTTGCACAAGTCAAGAAGATGCAAAAACTTGATTGCTAGCTTACCTATCTTAAGTAACAAAGATTGCTAACTTGCTTATTTCAAGAAGCAAAAGTTGTCTTCTTGAACATCACTATCTTGCCTATCTCAAGAAGCAAGACTTGCAACCTGCATATTACAATAGGAAGCAAGAATCGATAGCTTACACACTTCAACAAGAAAGCTTTCTTGTATTTGCTATCGTAAAAGTTGCTAGCTTGTAGAGAAGCAAAGAATTGCTATCTCGAAAGAAGCAAAAAATGCAAAACTTAGAAAACTTGCAATATAATTGCTCTTGCCATGCTTTGTATCAAAAATAGGTTGATATCCTTAAAAGCATCGCATTAAATTTTTTAGTATCCGCAATGTATCACATGTATCGCAAATTGAAATTTTTGAGACTATTATCATATCATGTTTAACAATTGATATCTTTCATGACATGATTTCTTTGCATTTTTGTCTTGTATATATCATGTGATGAATTGAAATATTGATTGATGCAAATTCATAATTTATGTAAAAGTCTAAATCATTGGTTCCTCTCCTTCTTTTCGGCAATGACATAGGGGGAGAAAGATTGCTAGCTTAGGGCAAATGTTGGCTAGCTTTTACTCTTCCCTTCTTTTTGACAAAAACAAAGGGGAGAAAGCTTTTGCTAGTTAGAACATGCAAAGAAAAGCAAAGTGCAATGTTGCACAAAAATTCAAGTGTTGAATTGCCATGAACTTAAGAATCTTGCTATGCTTTTGTGCTTATATGTTGTGATCTAGCTTCATGTTGCAAAAATTTGCATATATTTTAAAATAGCTAGAGCTACTTCTCCTTTTTGTTGATGACATAGGGGGAGAAGTATATTGATGACTTCATGCATTGAATTGAATATTTTATATATATTTGCATGATGGTTTAAATGTTTTTCATAACATGTGATGAATGTTACTTGGATTTGGGATAATCCAAGTGTTTTATCAATGACATATTGATAGGGGGAGTTTGGTTAAACTCCGGGGAGTTAAAGTTAACTCCGTTAGTCATCAATTAGTTGTCATCATCAAAAAGGGGGAGATTGTTGAATCTCGGATTTTGATGATGAAACTAATAGATATGTGTTTATGATTTAATATACATTTTGAGTGATGCAGGTCTACTCGATCAGGATTAAACAGTTAAAGCAGGAGGAATTGACGTTGCGCTGGAGGAGATCGCGTTAGGATATTGGATGGCAGAAGGCTTCGGACGTCAGGCATCGGGCCAACCAATGACGTGCCGGGCAACAGAATGTCAATTCGCGTTGTAATAATTGTCTAGATCGGAGTAGAGTTTTGGCTTGTGTGTGCAGGTTTAACTACGATAACGATGAAGACATAAAGCGAAACAAAGTGTCGGAGTCAAGCGCGAAGGATTTGTTGCGAGTTCGAGAGTTCGACGAAAGTCCGAAGGTTCGTCGGGAATGCTGTCGGAACTAGCCGAGAATGAGTAGGGAGCTTGCCGAAGGGTTTTTCGGAAGCTCGCCGGAAGGTTCATTGGAAGTTCGCGGAGCTCGCCGAGAAAGATCGGAGCTTGCCGAAGAAGCTCATTGGAACTCGCCAAGATCAAATCGTGAAGTCTAGGAGCTTGCTAAGAGTCCGTAGAATGGTTTCCGAGAGTTCGTCGGAAGACCGTCGGAAGTTCGCCGGAAAAAATCTTGACTTGTGGACTTTGTAATAGCTTAGAAAATGTCTTTAAGTTCGTAGTTAGCACGTTAATTAGGGTTAGGATTAGGTGTTAATCCTATAACTCAAGTAGGGGCCAATTGGGCCCGAGTTCGGACTGGTTTGGGCCAAGTTTGGAGCCCAACCAGTGAGCTGAAATAGTGTAGGCGGTGGCACTGCCTGGCTGGGCGGTGGCACCGCCAGTCCACTGTTAGTGTCAGACACTGACAGGCGGTGGCACCGCCAGCATCGGGAACCAAAGAGAATTCAAATTTTGGAGCCCAAATTTGAATCCTCTTGAGGCCTATAAATACCCCTCAATTCTCAACTGAGATTACAACTTTTTGAGTAGCAAAGATTGAGAAAAAGGTCTTAGAAAAGTCTTAGCAAGTCTTGTTTTCAATTTGCTAGAGTGTTCACCTCCTTCTTTCTTGCTGAAAATTTGTAAGAGTGTGAACTGCTTGTAAAAGGTTGTAAGAGGGGTATTTGCCCTTCTCTTTCAAGAGATTTGCTAGTGGAAGGTGGGAGCCTCATCGAAGAGGGCCTCGCAAGTGGATGTAGGTCATTTGACCGAACCACTTTAAAATCGACGTGATCTCTGGTTTGCATTTTCTTACTGCTATTTACATTACTGCAAACCTTTTTACGTGCTTTATTTCATCATTACCTTTGCTGCACACCTTTACGAACACACATTCAAGTTAAGCTTTTCAAGTTCGGTTTTTATCGTACGAAAGATTTGTCGAAACCAACGTTTTAATCCGCTGCACTAATTCACCCCCCCCCCCACCTCTTAGTGCCGCTCCGATCCTAACAACAAGTTCATGTAAACTCTAGAGACCCATGTTTATTTACATTACAAACAACCATGCATCTAAGGTAATTTCAAGCTTCCTAAAAGGGTTTACACAGATCCAAAATACACAGATGTGTCCCTTAGAATAAAACACTATAATGGAGAAGCTTATGATGCACCAAGAATGTCATTCCTATATGGATTACCTATACAGTGGTTTCAGCAGGAGTAAGAATTTTTTCCCTAACTAAAACTTTAAAAAACAGGACTCCCACAATTATAAATGACAATTCTAATGAAATAATCTCAATGGAATGTAGAAACTCGATTATTTAAGCTCGTCAAAATGGTTGGTATCTTTGAACAAGCACTTCATTTTACTTAAGCTAATAAATGGGCCCAGTAGTAAATTATGGTGTACAATTACGGCACTTGCAGATGGCATTCAAAGTACAGGAAAGCAATAAGCAATCTGAACTCTTATGAGTTTAATGCAATGAATCAGTTTTACCACCAATATAATTGAATTATTCGCTTTTGAGGAACTTAAAGTTGTTTGTTGACAGCCTCATGGAAATCCAAACATTTTTTGGTAGACAAGGACCATGCACAGACTATCAGCTCAAAAATTAGTCCAACAAGCTAACCTCATGGAACATCCAGTAATACTCTTGGACATAGATGATTATTTCCTTAGCACTTATAACCACTATTGCCTCTGAAAGACTATCCTGTTACTAATCCAGAAGCCCTTTTCAGACGTTTACATGAGTCTTTGAAGTTTTCAAAGGAAATAAAATAACTATAAAACTTGAGACAGTCAAAAAGAACGAACTTGAAGCATTGGAACGCACCTGCGACATGGTCGGTGGCGGATTGAGCCCGAGATCTTGCAAGCTTGGTATCTCCCCTGGCTCGATATCCCCCCTCAACGGCAGCCCCTTAACCTCCTCCGGTGTATCAATTGCCTTCCTTACGGTGACGCCCTTTACCTTCTCCCTAAACCCTCCATAGTTGGTCGGCATGTTCTCCAGCTCAAACGGCAAATCGTCGATGTGGTACAGCGTGCTCCCCCAGAAGTACTTCACTTCGACCCCTTCGGCTTCCATCGCCTTGGCGATCCTCTCCTCCACGCGCGCCTCGTCGTGGGACACCTCCCGGTGAGCGTAGACGGCATCAGCGCCGGCCGCACGCGCGAGCTCCGGCAGCACCACCTCGGGTCGGCCGATCCGCACAACGAGGTCGGAGCCGCGGCGGCGCAGCCCCCGGCGGAGCTCGGCGACGGAGTCGATAATGAAGCGGGCGCGGTAGGGGCCGGTGCGGTCGAAGCCAGTGGGGGAGCGGCCGAAGTCACGGGGATCGAAGAGGAAGACGGGGAGGAGGGAGAGGGAGTCGGCGTTGGCGGCGGACAGGGCCTCGTGGTCGTGGAGGCGGAGGTCGGCGCGGAACCAGACGAGGGAGCAGCGGCGGGCGGTTGCTCCGGCTGCCGGGTCGGAGTGGCGGCGGCGGAGGAAGGAGGAGGGGGAGAGGAGGAGGAAGTTGGAGATCTTGGAAGGAGTGCAGAGCCTGGAAGAGGGTTTGGAGTGGGGGGAGAAGAGGGAGAGGGAGAGAGAGGAGATTTGAGAGGGGATGTTGAACTTGAGTTGGGAATGGAAGGCGGAGAGGGAGTGTTTGGGCGAGGGGGAGTGAGAGGAGGAGAAGGGGGAGAGGTGAGAGGGGAGGAGAGACATGGAGAGGGAGAGGGAAGCCAGTGGGAGATCGGCCGTCGCGGTGGGAGGTTCAGTTTTGATGTCAACTTCTTGGGATTCGGAAGAGGGGATGGAGGAGGGAGGGTGGGTGTTGGGTTCCATTGGGTTGAGGCAAGGGAGGACGGAGTGGAGTGGCGAAGGTGAGGGAGTGAGGTAGAGTTTGTTTGGTGGACAAGGTTTGCATATTATATATTATGAAATATTTTGCTGTAGCAATGAGAACGGGTCAGATTATATCAAATTGGGTCGTACGTTTCTGGTTTAGTATTTAAGGGCCACGTAAATCCCAACCGTTTAAATCAGATGATGATAAATTAATGGGGTTTTTGATATCTGAGTATATATATATATATATAAAATTGGTATTTAAGGGCCACGTAAATCCCAACCGTTTAAATCAGATGATGATTCATTAATGGGTTTGGGTGTCTGAGTATATATATATATAT